AAAAAGTGTCCGCCATATTGGATCCGCCATTTTGAATTTTGAAAAAATAATATCATATTCGTAATTAGCGACCTCGAAAACCCCCGAGTAACGAGTTTCAAGCGAATCCGATGAATTTTTCCAAAAGGTGTCCGCCATATTGGTTTTCTGGGGTTATATCAAAACCCTGAACTGATGGGGTTAAATGGACCTCGGATTCGGATTCAGCGACCCCAAAAACATAAACTACACATAGTGAGACCTTTGGGTCAGAACACAAATTTTTTTTTGTGTGGCTGTGTTATTATTATTATATTAAGTGGGCCTGGGCCACACTGAAGAAGTGAAACTTACGGTACATATGTATCTATTTTGCCTCATAACCAATATACATACATACATTTGTACATACATATGTACATACATTCATATGCTTTTGCTTAAGGTTATAGTTTTTGTCATTTCTCTATCTAGATCCCTACCTCTACCCCCATTCGTTCTAAATACATTTATGTTATTCTGTTTTCCTTTATCTTTATTTCATCTTTATACTCTATCGATAACGAAATTGATAGTAAAGTCCAACAAAATATCGATAGCAAAATCGCTGACAAATTCGACAAATATTTCGATAGCAAAATAGATAATATTGATAACAAAATCGATTAGAAAATCGATAACAAAATCAATAAAGATATCGATACTAAAATCGATAAATAATCGATAGCAAAATTGATTAGAAAATCGATAAAAATACTGATAAAAAATCTAACAAAATCGATAAATATAATTACAAAGTCGATAAATAATTGCTAACAAAATCGATAAATAATCGATAACAAAATAGAAAAATAATTGTCAATGGTATTGTGGCTTGTTAACATTTTATTTTTAATATTTTTATTGAGCTTTGTACCACGATTGTTTATTAGGAAAAATTGAAAAAGCAACAAAGTCTAAGCGGTAGAAGTTATAGCACTATTTCGGAGATCACCACATCTCCTCATCAGACTTCTTTTTTCTAGACTTCAGCAGGGAAACAATCGTGGTACAAAGCTCAATAAAATTATAGATAAATAATTGCTAACAAAATCGATAAATAATCGATAACAAAATCGATGAATAATCTGTAACAAAATCGATGACAAATTCGATAAAATTTTCAATAGCAAAATCGATAATAATCTTGGTCGTAAGATCGATTAGAAAATCGATAAAAATTTCGATTACAAAAAACTATTAGACAATCAAAACATATCGATAACGAAATCTATAAAAATATCGATAACAAAATCGATAAATAATCGATAACCGAATCGATGACAATATCGATAAATAATCGATAACAAACCCGATTAATAATCGATAGTAAAATCTATAACAAAATCGATAAATAATAGATAACAAAATCGATAAATAATCGATAAAAATATCGATAACAAAATCGATAAAAATATCGATAACAAAATCGATAATAACATTGATAGCAAAATTGATAGCAAAATCGATAACAAAATCGATAAAAATATTGATAACAATATGGATAAAAAATATAGATGAGAAAATCGTTGAAAATGTCGATTACAAAGTCGATAAAAATATCGATTATCATATAGATATGTTCCGAAAATATCGAAAGCAAAATCGATAACAATATCGATACAAATTTCGAAAAAAATCGATACAAATTCGATAAATAATTGATAACCGAATCGGCGACAAAATGTGTAAATTATCGATAACAAAATCGGTAAATAATCGATAAAAAAATTCATAAATAATCGATAACAATATCGATAAAAAATCAATTAAAATATCGATAACAATATGGATAAAAAATATAGATAAGAAAATCGTTAAAAATACCGATTACAAAGTCGATAAAAATTTCGATTATTATATCGATAAGTTCCGAAAATATCGATAGCAAAATTGATAACAACATCCATACAAATTTCGATAACAAAACCGATAAAAATATCGATTATTATATCGATAAGTCCCGGGAATCCCGGAAATCCCAAAATAGTTCCCAGATTGAGTCTGTGTGTCTCTATCTATATCCTTTTCTCTATAATTATCTTTATTTTAATCTTTCTTCCTCTATCTTCATCTTTACATTTATCGGTATCCTCATCCTGATCTTTTTCTTAATATTTAACTTTGTTTTTACTTTTGTATTTATAATTTTCTTCATCTACATACCTTTGCCCTTATATAAGTAAAGAGTTTATATTTACCTTGGACTTCATTTTTGCCTTTATCTTTACGCATCTTTGTTTCTGTTTTTATTTTTACCTTGGCATATATCCTTTTCTTTATCTATTTACATACTCACCCTTACTTTCATTCGTGTATTGGTTTTTTTTAAGTGTTGTTCTTTAACCTTTTATTAGCAAGTTTTTGTAAAATTAATACCACGTGCATATACTCAAGAAGCACTTGCTTCAGCCCCAACCATTTCCGTTGCACCATTTTCGTGTGCAATTTCCGTTGAATTTGCCAATTTACTCCCAACCAACCAACCGCCGCTAAAGAAGTTTCCCTTCTAAAATGGACTTCCAGTCCAAAACAATTTTCCGACAAAAGGTGAGTATTTTTATGCTCAGCATCCGAATCCCCGACTTGGTAATTCATATTTTTTCGTTTTCCACATTTCACCCAGTTAGGAAGTCCACGACGAGTTGAAGCTTGAAGGTCATTTAAAGGTTAAACAGGGCAGTTCTGAGAAAAAAGTTGCAAACAAAAGTTTCAAATTCTTATCCTTAGAATTCGAGTCTGTAGTAAAACCATATATGTATATATAGTTTGAAAAAATTGACTTCCGGTCAGTTTAACCCACTACCGGTTTTCAATAAAAACATTTCCCTGCATTTTATAGGGGGTGGACGGGTGGTCTAGGACACCCTGTATATCCGAGCTCCAAAAATGATTTGGATACACAAAGTATTAATCTTTTTCATACCACTTTTACCACTTTTTTAAGGCCACTTTTGAGCACACAATAATTTCTTCCTCTTGCTCTTCCAGAAATCTAAAGCTCAGACTGTTAATAAAGGTACTGAACCTAAAGTACTCAAATCCGCCGCCAAAGAAGCGCTTGCAATACGCTACACTGCCCCGAAGTAAGCAGAAGAAGAAAAAGACAAAATCGCTCAGTCCAATATCTTATATTCAATAGTTTAATAGGACACTCATGTCATTTTGTAACAATTAAGATCAAATTAACTAAGTGGAACATTAATAAAATTTGTACAGCACAACAATCGTAATTCTAATATTTTTCCTACATTTTAGCTATGGCGTTGGACGTTGGAAGCTGTGGTGGCGTTGGTGTTGCGTGTACTACGCTCCGCGACCGTTAAGCCCAAGTTGTGGTGGGTAGCCGTGACAGCCAACATCGACATTGGCGTCTTCTTGCAAACATAAACACTGGCGGACGCTGACTTAGTGCTGTTAGCGGTTGCGGTTAAACGATTATTATGATGCCGCCTAGAGCGACGCCACGTTACAAGACTACGCCCCACAGTGCGTATGTTTGCGGAATTGCAATCTTTCTGTGTAACTTGCGCTGCATCGGTAGTACTCGCCGCCTCCGCCGCTGCCGCTGCCTTCGTTTGTCTGCTCAACAAAGACTTGAGTGACTTCTCGCTTACAGCTGCGGTGTGCAACTCACTCGCCGTCACACTTCGACTGCGCGCCGGTGGTTTTGTGGCTTGTAGCAGCCCTTGTTGTTGCATTGTCAAACGCTGCTGTTGACCTTTCATTCTACGTAATATATCAATAATGTTATCGGCGCTTTTGCTTTTGATTGCGTGCAACGTAAGGCTTTCATCGGGTGTTTGAGTATTTGAAAATGGCGTGTGAACTTTGACCTCCGCAGCCTGTGGTATGCCGCATTTTTTAATAATGAACTTGAAGTTTTTATCAACTTCATTGGTTGCCCCGCTGATGTTAGCAGTTGCGCTGCCGCTGCTTAGCCGCGGCCCACAACTGCGATGTCGCTTGATAAGCGGCACCGCCGACGCCTGCTGTTGATCCTTCGCACCTCTAGGTGGCATTGTGTTAGCTTTGTTTGAGAGATTTGTGAATGACTTGCGCCGTGTGCCGATTTGTGAGCGCGGCGTTTTCAGCAGATTCGGACAGATCATTACTTGCGCCTGCGGAGTCGTATGATATTTACGGCGTGCATTCTGCACCATTTGCATTGGCGTGGGCGAGGAGTGTATGATGGCACCCGAGGTGGTAAGACCACTACCAATACCACCGCTTATGCTGCTGCGACTGCTATTGCCTGCCTCCATAATGTATTTCTCCACATATTCCGTGGCATTGAAGGTGGGCATTGCTTTGTGTACATTCGAGATGGCTGGTGTGATAGTGGCACGATGGCGATACGCATGACCGTTTAGGGCGGGACGGTCACGTTGCTGTGTCTGATGATGATGATGATGGTGATGGTGTGGCAGTTTGGTAACGATTTGTTTGCCCTTAACGAACAGGTTGAGCCCCATGTAGGCGGGTGTAGGCGGCACGACTTGGCGATAGATCAGTTCAAAGTTTCCCATATCAGATTTTGGATCCAATCGACGATCGATGACTACTGCAAAGAGAAGACAAGGCATAATTGAGTTTGGGCAAGCTAATGTGGAGTTATTGAAGGCGTTGGAATTTGGTGGTTAAAGTAAGTAAATATTTCACTTGTAACATAAACTCCTTTAAAAGTAGCGGTACAAAACTAAGCGGTAGTAGTCTTTCGCAAGACAATTGCCAAATCTTCCAACTATCTTGAAAGCTCTTTTCTACTATTCGAAAGAATATTTAATTTAAAGATCTGCTAACGAGGAGGTCGTTCCGTTGTTCTGTTTGTCCTTTTTAATAAGTTTTCAAAGTGAGATTCTTCAACATCTCGCTCATCTGCGCCCATACCCCGACGGAAGAGAAGGATCAGGTATTCAAGGATTTCTTCTATGAGCGTTTGGAGCGCAACGTACGAGCGCTGCCTCCGCCACAATATTAATGCCATGGTGGGCAAGGAATGGATCTTTGGAACCACCGTCGGAAAATACAGCCTCCACGACGAAACGTACGCTAACGAACTGAGGCTGATCGACTTCCCCGGGGCCCGAAACATGGTAGTATGCAGTTCTAGGTTCAAGCATAAAAAGATTCATCAAGCTACGTGGCTGTCTCCGGATCGAAAAACGGGAAACCAATTCGATCACGTTGTGATAGACGGAAGGCATGCTTCCCGTGTTTTCAACGTACCTACACTCCGAGGCCCAAACATCGACTCGGACCACTATCTTGTTGCAGCCAAGATACGCACCCGCCTCTGTGCAGCAAAAAATGTGCGCCCAAATGCTTATCGTCGAAAAGCTGCAATCATAATCAATGCATTCGCTACTCGACTCTCACACCTGCTCTCAGAGAGCACTCTTCAACAAACCGACATATGCGAGCAGTGGAACCACATTTCCCGCTCATTAAGTACCGCCGCCGAAGAAGTAGTCGGATTTCAGCGAGCCCGAAAGAACAACTGGTACGATGAGGAGTGTCAGGAAGGTACAGAGAAAAAGATGCCGCCTACAAGGGCACGCTGCGATCGGGCAATAAGAAGAGAGAGGCCGAAATACGTGAGTGCGAAGAGGTTGAAATGCTGGCCGACAGGAGGAATGCCCGAAAATTTTACCAGAGAGTTAGGAAACTTACGGAAGGTTTGAAGACCAGAAATCAAAAAAAAAAAAAAAACATATTGTTAAAAAAAGAGGGGATAAATTTAAGTTTCTAAAAGATAAATGAATTAAAGAAAAGGTAACACAATAAAATCTAAAAATTAAAAGAGAATTAACTTGAAAAAAAATTATTAAAACAATGTGACAGAAAGCACTAATTCATGATCTAAATCTGTGATTCCCAAAGTGATCCACGTGAACCCCCAGGGGTCCACGGAAGACTCGACGGGGGCCCACGGTGACGTGAACAAAATATGGGGGTCCATGAGTTGTAAATGGGGGTCCACGAAAATTTATCTGTAATAATCGATGTAAAGAACCAAAATGATTGCTTGATAGCCTTTTTATTTAACTTTAATTTTTTTGAGTGGTGTATAGTGCTCTTGACGCACTGCTGCACTTACCGTCACTTGTGTCTTCAAACGCGGGGAAGCCTTAGAGGCCACCTGCAGACTAAAAAGAACCGGACGCTAGTATGACAATAAGTGGGGCGCCGCGAAAATTGCTGGCGGCAGAGGCTTAAGCACTTGTGTCTTTTCAATGCTACAGGATAGTACCATTACCTTTGTTGAAGAAATTCTATAATGTTGAGTTCCCTGAGACTGAATGCTGGTTTGATTCCAAAACTGACTCTGGTTCATGATCTGGGGTCTTTTTCGAGGTTAATGGAGATGAGATCCACTTTTCTGTAAGGGAATATGCTTCGGTCTTCCAGGCTGAGGTAGTTGCAATTCTCAAATCCATGGACTACGTGGTAGAACATAGGTGGAGGTGAAGGAGTTTACGTGACCGCAGTGACAACCAAGCTGCACTTAAGGCATTATACCAGCCCTCTACTTAACTACTTCCAAACTAGTTCGGCAATGCAAGTCTTGATTAAAAAATGTTGGTGAACATAACGAGGTTCTTTTACTCTGGGTGCCAGGTCACTCTGGAGTTCATGGTTATGAGACATTTGATCAATTGGCCAGAGTTGGCTCAGACCAGGCATTCCTCAGTCCGCACCATCAGAAACTGAGTGAATACTTCGCTCAGAAATGCAGTCATTTCGCAGAGGCATCGAGGGGATGCAGGTGGACAAAACTCATGTTGCCTTCAATCTCACAAGGTCTTGGTTGAGTTTTTTTAACTCGTTCTTTTACCTATTGTCAATATCTGAATAGTTTGGCGTAAAAAGCTTAGCCGTTTTGATGTTTTAAGTTTTGTGTTTTAAAAACGTGAAAAAATATTTTTCGCCTCATTTTAAAACTCGGAGCGATAAAAATAAAAATGATGCCATTAACACAAATAAACTATTTTACATATACTCCACGTTCAAAGTCATGAGTGAGCCGAACATTTGATGAGTTTATGGTGAAGATAATAGGTTTGTTCGTCGAAAATCCAGCAAGAATTATCCAACACTCAAAATATCAGAGAGTAAGAAAAAATTCTCTCAAATTCTCTCTCATGTTGAGAAACTTGCAAATTTCTGCACGAACGCAAATTTGCAGGAATTTGCAAGTTTCGCTGCCAGCTGGCGTCCACGGTTGCATTTCAAACATAAAAATTTTTTATAGAATTTTTAAAATTCTTTCGGATGGCCAAAAACAGGATATACATGTATATTTCTTGTTGTTCTGACTTTCTTTAACATACATTTCAATTTCTTCATCGTACTAGCTGTCGGGTTTCTTAAATCGACTCTGGTTGCAATTGCATTCCGATTGCGAATACCATTTTTTTCAGCCGAATTAAGTTCATATCATTGGAATTAACTAAATTAATTATATCAACATTTATTTACTTCCTTTTTTCATAAAAAAATCGCTCGTGTTTATAAATTTTTAAATTTAACGAACTAATTTATTCAAATTATTGTAGACAAAAATGCAACCATGCGCCACAACCACATGTTTTTCGTGTTTGCAAATTCTTGCTGGCAGAACTGTCACTTTGCTCTCACAATTTTTGAGTGTTGGATAATTTTTTGGTCTGCACGAACGCGATTTGGGCAAAAATCGTGATAATTCGTACAAATTCGTGCAAATTTTTTGCTCGACGAACAAACCTAATGTAAATATAGCTAGCGCTCGCAGTGCTCTTAAAAAATATAACTTCCGAGCGAGAGAGTATTTTGATGTATTTGCGTGCTCTATTTTTTAAAACCTACAAGTGTATAATCATATTATTTTTATAAATAGAACACAAGAAAATATTTTACTTTTATTTTGGCCACTCTGGGTTTAGTTTTTGAATTCACCCGCGATGCAAATTTACATTGTTTGATCTAATTTTCACATTTAATTTTTTTACGAGCTTTGGGAATATTTAGAGATGTATCAGCAGGGGGTCCACCGAAACCAGTAAATTTATGAAGGGGGTCTACGAGAAAAAAAGTTTGGGAACCTCTGCTCTAAATGGAGATGCATATGATTTTGCTAGCACTGCTCGTCTTGTAAGCCATTCGAGAGAGTCCTCAAGCAGCTGATTTTTTTTTAAATAATATTTTTTGCTTTTTTTATTTCAGTTTTTTTTTTTTTAATTTGTAGATCTTATGGTTTTATAAAGAAGAAATGTATAATTTTTTTTTTTAAATTTATTAAATTTTTAGAATCATATATTATGTATTTTTTCTCAATACAATCTTACTAATATTATAAATGTGAAAGTTTGTATGTTTGGACGTTTGGGAAATCATCACACGGAAACGACTGAACGGACGTGCATGAAATTTGGTACGCAGATAGCTTATAGGCCAGATTGGTAAATAGTTGTAAGTAATGTAGTAAGAGTTGCCACCTGTTAAAAAAAGTTTAATTTATTTAATATGCGGGAACGACTGCATGGATTTGCATGAAAATTTGCACACAGATAGCTTATGACCTAGATTGGAAAATAGGCTACTGTTCTTAAGAGCTGCCACCTGTTAAATAAGTTTCATTAAATTAATACGCGGAAACGACTGAATGGATTTGCATGAAATTTTGCATGCAGATAGCTTATGACCTACAGTGAAAAATAGGCTAATTTTTTGGAAGAGTTGCCACCTGTTAAAAAAGTTTAATTATATTAATACGCGGATACGACTTAACGGATTTGCATGAAATTTTGCACACAGATAGCTTATAACCTAGGTTAGTAAGTAGGCTACTTTTTTAAGAGTTGCCACCTGTTAGAAATGTTTAATTTAATTAATACGCGGAATTGAGTGAACTGATTTGCATGGAAGTTTTCACATAGATAGCTTATGAGCTAGGTTGAAAATAGGCTACTTTTTTTTAAGAGTTACCACCTGCTAAAAATGTTTAATTAAATTAATACGCAAAAAAGTCTGAACGGATGTGCATGAAATTTTGCTAGCATATAGCTTATGACCTACAGTGGAAAATAGGCAAATTGTTTGGAAGAGTTGCCACCTGTTAAAAAAGTTTTAATTACATTAATACGCGGAAACGACTGAACAGATTTGCATAACATTTCGCACAGAGATAGCTTATGACCTATGTTGGAAAATAGGCTACTATTTTAAGAGTTATCACGTATTAGGAAAGTTTAATTAAATTAATACGCGTAAATGACTGAACTGATTTGCATGAAAGTTTGCACACAGATAGCTTATGACCTAGACTGGAAAATAGGCTACTTTTTTTAAGAATTGCCACCTGTTTGAAAATGAAATTTTGTTTAAAGATGGTTTATGACCTGGATTGAAAAATAGGCTATGGAAATATGGTACTTGGTATGGAGTTGTGTATACAAAATGTTTCAATTGCTCCTGGAAAAGATGTGAGTTATTAAAAAAGGAGGCATGTCGCCTCCCATACATACTAAAAACTTCTTAATACATATCTCTGGAAGGATAGAAAATCTCTCGAAGTATTTTAAATTTGTTATGGAGATTTATTTTATAAGTGCCGTACTGACAGAATAAATTTCATTAAATGGAAAAGGGAGAGCCGGGTTCGGCCTTATAATCTAAAGCTCTCTTGAGGCATTTGCTACAGTAATGAGAAGTGGTATTTTATCAAGGCCGGGTTACTAAATTTGATTTGGAAATATTAGAACCCGCCGTGGCACCTCCAAGAAGGTTACACGTTCACGCGTCGTATACCTGGAACCATTTTAAGGTAAACTTAGAGGGATTGATATCTTAGGTATGCCTAGCGCGCAGACGAGATTTTATAATTTCATAGTTTTAAACGGCCTAAATACCTTAACTCGCTTAAAAAATAACGAGCTATAACGAAATGGGCACAGAAATAAAATCTAACATCATTTAATTATTTTTCATATTTGTATAAAAGCGCGGGGTGAAACCCGCGGGTATAAGCTAGTATATATATATATATTTTAATTTTAAGTTTTTATTGTTTTAAAAAGAAAAATATGTATCTATAGGGGATTCAAAAGATGTTAAGAGTCGTAATGTGGAAAAACAACAACAGTTTTCAAATGGTAAAAGTTATAGCAACAATTTTGGAGATCACCACATCTCCTCACCAGACTTCTTCAATAAAAAGCTCAATAAAATTGTTGAATATGATTTGTTACAAGGCCAGTAAACAGCAAAAAAAATACATATTTTCTATAAGTTTGAAAACATTTTGGTCTAGTTGAAAATTTCCTAAAACCCTTTTAACCGTTATTTTGCATAGAAATAAAAAAATTGTAAGACCAAGATATTGCGTGTAACACGTCTTGTGAGTCATTTAATTTTTAGAAACTTATTTTTTTAAACACAATTTTTGTATTATTTAATTTGCTGTTAATGTTTATTTTTTATTTTTAAAGAAGAAAAATATATTTCTTTATTTAAATTAATATTTTTATTTTGTTCACCTTTTCTTTTTTCTTAATAATTTTTTATTTTTTTTTTGTATTTAGCTTCCGCGTTTTGTGGCGTGAGCCTTGACTTTCGGCTAGAGCTTTCAATTAGTATTTTGAAAAACAGAAAAGAGCTTCCACGATACACTGGGAAAAGGGACAGCTAAATATATTTCTATCAACACAAGATTAGGTAACTACATATAATCCAATTATGTAACTATTATCAAATCATGTGTTAAGAGAGACATAACTAAACTCTTTTCTCAGTATAGTTGTCAAAATCGACAACGAAAATGCTGTGGTGAGTTGAAAGACTGTAGTGAATTGAAAGAAAATTGCCAGAATACTAGGTGCAATTCCGTATTAATCGAACTAAAACTAGTAAAACCGTCCAAAAATAAAAATTCGAGAGAGCAACATTGAAAAGTGCGGGATCGCTTTCTAGTAAAAAATTGTAACTTCTGTCAACTTCAACATAACCTCCAAATTTTGGTTGTATATTTTTGCTTATTTTATACGTAAACGCACTCAGCTCACACATATAAATAACCAAAATTATTTTGAAATTGATTAAAATCCACTTAAACAAGTAATAAAATACTTTTCAACATGCATTAGCAGAGTACACTTTTCTTTTGTTTACAATTTGGTTGCCAAACACACTACAGCTGCTCGTTTGACACATTTACCAGAGCTTGCCACCAAAAAATCTTCGGACTAAAACTGGTAATTTCTGACAGAGAGAGGACCATTTTTACTCTCTTTTTTGTCCTCTCAATAGTCAGAGAACCGAGTACGGGATCGATTTCTAGTAAAATGTGACCGATTTTGACTAGTCCGGACTCGTACGGGATCGCAACTATTAACAGTCATTAACATTAAAAGTACCAGTAGCAGTTTCTTCAGTTTATCTCTAAAAAACCAACCGCGTAGCTATAGCGAAATCACTAATTCCTCTTACCTTTTATTACATCCTCCAGACATTGTGGACACATGCGCGCCGTCACACTGGTCGTTGCACCCAAATCGGGGCTTGAATTGATCTCGATCAACCACGGATAGAAATCCTCGCATATCATAAAATCTGCACCGAATAATTCGAATGTATTTGGACGACGATCAATATTTTCTTGCGATGCCAACATTGTGCCAACGATAGCCTTCTTCATACCCGGATAGATGCGCTCCTGCCACATATCATATTTGCCGATTTGACGCAAATAAGCTTGAAATGAATAACAATCCCACATATTCTCTATGGGTAGGCGTTTATCCCGTTTACCATTATTGTACTTCTTTTGAATGGCGTGATTAGTCAAATGTACCGATTCGTGATGATTACTCAGGCTATACTCCTGTGAGCTGAAACGCAAATAACTATCTTTGTACATCCAAACGACAAGTGGTTGCACGTTGGTTATGAGAAACCACTGACGAATATCGAACTTGGTATGGTGTATGGTTAGAGGACGTTCTGCAAAGGAGAGCGGTAAGTTTTTTATTTTATTTATTTTTTTTGAGTTAATTAAAATCATATTCAAAAAAGTTAACGAATGCAAAATATAAATTTGCATACATACATACATACATACATAGGCGTATGCAATGAGTGCGAGTGTGTGTATGCCTGCAGTTGTGTCTTGTGAATTGGTATTAGTGTTAAGAAAGTGCCAAGGACACTCGTAAAGAAGGTTGGTTGTTCCGCTTTCTGCTGTTGAATTGTTGTCATTGTTGTATGCTTCTGCCTGGGCTGATTGTGAGTTGGCATTTGTTGAATGCTCACGCACGCAATTTTATGGTGTCATGGCAGGAAATTAGGCTTATTGCCAACCTGTTGAGGTCGTGCCATTAAAACTGAAAGTTCATTGATTTTGTGCGCCCGCCAACAAACGCTTAAACACTATCCCCTAACAAATGTATTTACACACAAATACATGTTAATATGTAGATATGTAAGTGCATAGGTATGCCTGTATATTGTATTGTTTGTATCGTTGTTTGCAGCCGAACACGAATCGTGTTGTGTAGGGTCGGTGGCAATGATGTTAAGGGCTTATTGCGAGTTCTTTGTTATTTTTAAATTTTCGTGCATACTTATATAGTTACATACTAGAGATGGGCACGGGAATAAATACTCAATACCGATCCCGTGCATTCCTAGTTGCAATTTTTAGGTTCCGAACCCGCCAATTCCGATGTTTTTCAAATTTGTACCGCGGGCCCCGTGGTTCCCGTTATCTATCACCAAATAAAATTTACATGGCTTTCATCTTTATCCTTTGTACTATTACTACACCATGCGACAGCAAATTTTACACATAAAAACTTTATATATTCGCGAAACCATGGGCTAAATATAGTAAAACTGTGTTTTTAGTTTTTCTCTTAGACATCAGGATTTTTTTTAAAAGAACTTTGAAACTTGCGAAATATGATTATTTCAAAAAATAATTTAAAAAAAAAACTCAGTGTACGGACGAGTAGGTATTGAGAATGTCCTTTTAACCTTTTGTCATTGCATATCCTTGAAACTTAACAAATCCTCGAATTTCGTCCTTCTAACTTCATTCGCTTAAAAAAAAACACTACTAATTAAAGGACATTTTTAATACCTATTCTTATTTGTGAACCAAAATGTTATATTTTTTTTAATTCTACAGAATTTTCTCTTTCATTTGGTACCCATACTGTTTTTCTGCATTGAAATAAATTTTTTAAATAATTTGTGAAGTTAATCATATCTTTGAAACTACAAAGTCCTTGAAATTATGACTTAATAGGAAAAATAGCATATTAAACAATATGGGTATCAAACGAAAGGGGCTCTTAAGCGATTAGTTTCGAAATAATTTGGAAAAGGGCTGCCATCAATTCAAAAAGTTAAAATCAATTTAGTTAACAAAATAAATGAAATATTTGTATATGGTTACTAAACAAGAGATTTTCAAGAAATTTTTTCCTCTAAAATGATTTTAAAGAGGGTTGCCACCTGTATAGGAGTTCAAAGCCAACTGTCTCCAACTGTTTTAGAAACTCAAAATCAGTTAAATTATTCCGTTTAATAAAATATTTTAATATGTGTATCAAACGATAGAGGTATAAAAAAGTTCGATTTCGTAGATTGTTTTTAGAAGTGTTGCCACTTGTTTATAAAGTCAAAATCATTCTAATATTCAAGCTAAATTAAATATTTTGCATGGGTATCAAAAGAAAGACATTTAAAAAAAATATTTTTGCCGAAGATTGCCACCTGGATAGAAATTCGAAACAAATTTAACTAACAAGTTAATTGAAATAGTTCAATATGGCTGTCAACAGAGAGAGGTGTAGGTGTTTTAACGTATTATTTTCGTTGTTATTTAATTTTGGTTATTTTTTTTATAAAAATATAGTTAAGTCTTAAAAAAAAAACGCTTGAATTCAAGTTTCCAAATTTGTGCAATATTAAAAAAAAAAATCAACAAACTTTCGTACAAATTTCGATCTTTTTCAAAAATTCTAAAAGATAAATCGTAGTTTTTAGCCATTTGAAACTGGTACTTTATTCTATTTACTAGAAATCAATGGGCTACAAAACTGCATACTCAGAATCTAATTAAAAAACTCGAAGTAAGGCAATGGCACTCAATTGGTCCATTTGATCCACAGATTGGTACATTTTTATATACGGCTATTGGTACAAAACAAAAAAAAGGAAATTTTTCATTTTGTAGTCAAAATAGTTTCTTAAAGGATTTTTCGGAAAAAATCTTTCTGATGACAGAACAGTTTAAGCTTAAAAAATCTACACTGCCGGAACAAAGTATTGGCACAGCAAATTTTTCACAATATATGCAACAAATTTTTATTCTAATATTTTTCTCCAATTTTGTATAAAAATATGGTCCATTCTACAACAAAAAACATAATTCCTAAATTTTGTGCAAAACTCGCGAAAATTCAGTGAATTTTCATGAAAATTTACAACTTTTTAATCAGATTTTTTTGAATTTTTTTGAGTATGCAGATTTGTCCTAGAGCCCAATCAATTTTATTATAATAATGTGCAAGTTTTAAGTAGCTCGGAATTACCGTTGATTTTTGGCAATTTTTTTTTTACGTAGTCTCTTCCAAAATGCAAAACTCCTTCAACAAAAAAAATCCTCAAAAATCAACGTGATTTTTGACTAACTCCCAATTTGCATTTTTTTTGCTAGAATTTAATGGGCTGCAAAACTGCATATTCATCTGATTAAAAAGTTGAAAATTTTGATGAAAATTTGCTGAATTTTCGCGAGTTTTGCACAAAGTTTAGGAATTATATTTTTATGTTTTTTGTTGTTTAATGAACCATATTTTTATACAAAATTGGCGGGAAAATATTACATTAAAAATTGTTGCATATATTGTGAAAAAATTGCTGTGCCAATACTTTGTTCCGGCAGTGTACATAAAAATATTAAAAAATTGTATCAACGGAATCGTAATAATGAGATTTTTGATGTTGTTTTTTAACTTTTTTCAAAGATTTATTTAAGAAAAACTTGAAAACCTGCTCCAAAACATTACCGATATAGACTTATAAGCTATCACAGATATCATTTTCTAACCCTTTTTGTTTCTTTGCAAAAAAAAAAACTCATTCACGTCCCAATTTTTTTTTTATTCAATACCAACACATCTTAATTCAACATGGAATGACACTCGTTTATCTTACCTCCCTTTTTCATATTTTGAGTGAGCTTATTCGCAAAGAAATTAAAAGGGTGAGAAAATGATACCTCATAAGTCTAAATGGTAAGGTTTTGGCTGAGTTATTTAAGTTTTTCTTAAACCAGTCTTTGAAAAAAGTGCAAAAAACAGCATCAAAAATCTCATTATCATGATTCCGTAGAATTATTTTTTTTATATTTTTATGAACACTTTTTAAGTTTAAAGTTGTCAGTCATCTGAGGTAATTTTTTCAAAAAATATTAAAAAAAAACTGTAAGTCTTAAAATATAATACATAGATTTTATAATTCCAGTGGAAAAACAGTACCGCTTTTTATATGGGCAGTGAATGCTGTCGACTGTACATAAGTTGGCTATGATTACTCGGCCGTGCTATCATAGTAGCACAATGCCGCTAAGTACATTTTAAAATTTTCAGGCAATAGCCTCATGCGATTATCGATTATATTTTTTGTTGTTTGTGTGAAATATTTTATTTTTAACAGTTTTTTTTTTTAAATCAAAATATGTTCAAATAAAAGTGAAAAAAATAGGGCCCCCCCCGGCCCTACGGCTAGGGCTACGGCCCTGTTCATCCACATATCTTATGCAAACTATCGCAATTTGTTTCTACTATATATGTACTTTATTTTTTGCATAAACAGTGAAAGTACTTTGCTGTATTGTTTTATCCTCCTTAGCGTCGTGTCTCACCTTCTAAAATTTTTGCATAAGTTGTGGCGCGTGCGTGTATTTTCGCCACAATAACCATATACATACATATTTGCTATTTTTAGTCCGCAATATTTCCATTACATTTGAGCATACCCTGACGCCTATCAAAAATAGCGTGCACTTATGTTGGAATAAAATTAAAGAGATAAATGGGAATTCATTTATGTATTTATTCAAACATTTTGTATGTACATAGGTAGATTTTCAACATACATGTGTGCTCATTTTCTGCCTGTGCCCACGGTTGCCACTTACTTCTTTTTTGTATATCAAAATGTAAAAAATGTACCAAAAGCTAAAAATTTAATTATTTTTTATAGTGTTTTCTGAACTATTTTATAAAGCTGAAGCAAACCTCCCTTAAGTTAAATTTCCTATAATAGCGACCAAATAGTGTTTTTCTTATTATTATTAAACTGAGTAGTTTTTTATCAGGGAACGCAAATAATGAATACTTTTAAATTTCAATCACATTCGAAGAGAAATGCTGCGTTCATAAGGAGTAAACCAACATAGACTCTTTGTTTCTGGATACACCTTCAACGGCATTGCTTTTTGTTATTTTAAGTTTTATTTCAAGAACTATAATTAAATAATTAAATTAAACAATTATTTTTGGAGTTTTATTTTTTGCTTAGAAAATAAAACTTTTTTTGTATATTTCTTTGTCATGCAAATGCTAAAGATAGAGATAAATTTTAAGATACAGTTAAAGACAATGGTAATGGAAATAGCAATGGTAATGGCACTGATAATGTTAATGGTATTGGTAATGATAAAGGTAACTAAATCTGCAGATAACAGTTATTTTTGATCGAGAAAATAATAATCATAAAATAACGATTATTTTTTTATAAATAAAAAATAACCATAATTATTTATCAAAAATTAGAAATTAAAAACAAAAAACGATTCTTTTTTATCGAAAAAATAAAAATCTTAAATTAACGATTACCTTCTATCGAAAAAATAAAAATTTCAAAACGATTATTTTTGATCGAAAAAATAAAAATATTATTATTGATCAAAAAATAAAAATTCAAATAACGATTATTTTTGATCG